ACTGTCTCAACCTCAGTGCATGGTAAATCTGCTTAATGTTATATTTATCCTGTGATTGAAACTCTTATGAAATAGCTCTATCAACTTCTGTATTTGTTCAAGTCTTTATGGGATTTTGCCTGATGATATTAACCAACAACACTATAGTATTATCAGGGATAATTATAGTTATCATTTAAAATGCAGACTTGTTCACATTTGAATCGAGCATCATCCAAGCTAGTGTTTTTCAATCAGAAGTGTGTATCAGACTTTCCTATGGAGTTTAATAAAAATGCAGATGTCTAGGACATACACTAGACTTAGCAAATATTTTACTTTACATTCTTGGCATATTCTTTCAAGATTATTATCTCTCTCGGTTTTTCCCTCTGTAAAAATTACATTTATCTATTTTTGTACAATCAGAAGTAAACTCCCTGACTTCTTTAAAAATAGATTTACTCATTATCCTTTGAAACATTCTGTCTAATTTGGGGGCAATAATTTTATTATCTTGTTTTGCATGTCACATCTATTCATTATTCTTATTATGAGCTCTCATCAGACTTTTCACATTTGAAAATGATCTGTAAATTAATCACAACCAGTTTCAGTTTCTATCATCTATACATGTTTATTTTCCTTAGATGCTTGCCTGCAGGTTCTACTACCAGCTTCAAGCCAGAGTTTTCAACTAAAAATACTTTCAACAGTTCCAGATGCTTCAAACAGTTGACATTTTCAAGGACAGACTCTTGGGTACAGGAATCTGATGCTCCAATAGGCTGAGTCAAGATTTATAAAACTTTCATCAGGACAGCTTTATGCTCCTGCTAACCCAAGATCAACAGGAACAAAAAATAATTGCATAAGACTAAATGCACTGATAAGGGAAATTTTACTATAGTTTTTTGTTTAGAATATTGTTATTTTAATGTTCTGTTTACTGGATCTATGAGACAGTCCTTTCTCTACTTCATCTCACAATTTAGTAGATTCTTGTATTAACTATATTTTATTGTTTTCTGTATTTTTGATGCCCTGGCCTCTGGAGCCCCACTCACTGGGAAGTACATTCTAGGGCTAGCCAATTCTTAGAACATAAATGACTTGCCCAGGAGTGAACTTTTCACATGTAAACTAACCAATGCAGAGTCCATACTTGGAACCAACTCTTCTATCTGGCTCATACACTCCAGAAGGCAATATTCCTCTGCCTTAATCATCTGAACCAGGTACCGGAGAGTCCCTATACCTCAGAATCTACTGAAATGAATCAAACTCGTCAATCCTAAGACTGCATTACCCTGCCTCACCTTGCCTTTCCCATAGAAACCACATAAAGGCTTCTGCCTTGCTTTCCACCTGTCCCTTCCACTTTCTGACTAACCCTGGTGCTCCTTGGTCTTGCACAGCACAGCATGCTCCCTTTCCTCCTGAGACCGAGGAGTGGGAATCTTTTCAAAGAGCGGTCATCCTCTCATCAGTTGGCCTCACCATTTATGAATAGTAATAATAATAAAACTGTATTTTAAAACCGTCCATTTAGGTAAAATGAGATGAAACATTTAAAAGTGATGTCTGAGTCTCACTTACCCCAGAGTTCAGAAACTCACCCTGCATCCTGACCTTTTGTTGCAATGGGGTTAGTTCCTATATTCAATAATAATCTGTTTTCCTTTTTACCAGAATAAAATTGAAAAATCTGTTATACAACCAAAATCTTGCCTGGAATGCCATCCTGAGAAGGATTTTCATTGAATCATGTAGAACAGACCACCTTTAAGGAACAAAGGCTTTACTTACATAGCCAATGCCTACAGGGGCCTCCTAGGATAACTGACCTGCTAACTGGTTTACAGGGTCCAAGCTTACAGGTGGTAAAGATGGTCACTTGCTGGCAAGCTAGAAACCTAATGTTATTTTGTGGATCTCAAGAAGAGAGTAATATATCCAAATACATAGGTACTGCAGTTGAAACATAGTGGAGAGAGCTTCTTGAACTTAGCTCCAGACCTTGGGATTGCAAATAATAGAGGCGTTGAAAGTCCAATCTGAGATTCCCCCATGAAAACTCCCAGAGAAAAGTTAATATTGTAATTAGTCAATAGCAAATGACTTTACATTTTGCAAAGCATGCTTAACAAGGCCTATATAGTAAATTGATACTCTTGCTATGCCTATGTAGGCCAAACCTAATGTGACTAGCCTTATTTTGTGATTAAGAATAATCTTTCCTTGAGATTCTTATGATCACAAGAGGTAAGAGAAGAATGTAAAGAAAAACTATAAATAAAATCTTTAAAATTTAGTGGGTGTCCAGGCTAACTCATCCATCTGGATAATCTTTGCTTTTGTTTTTCTATGACTGGGCTATTTTTACAAGGCTGTAGACACAAAAGTGAACTTGTAGATACTGATGGCAAAGCAAATAATTCCTCATGTCCAAGAGAAAGTAACTGATTATCACGTCATGGATATTGTAAGTTTTGCCAATTTTGTGTCCATTTATTTTATTTCTGCATTCCTCATCAGACTACAAATATGTGATACTTTACATTCTCTTTTGAACTGGTTGTACTATCTTACTGATTCCTTTGTTAATTAATAATTTAAATAAAATCTTTGATACACCTTTATTTCATATCTATAGGAGAGTCATGATTATATTCTGTTAAATGTAACTTTTAACAACTGAATAAGATCACACTTACATTTCACACCAAAAAAAGATGATACAGTCATCTGTACACCTCTCTTAACCAGTTTTGAATTACTCAACACATAATACTGAGTGACTACCACATGCTACAGGTCTAAAGAAAGACAAGAAGGACTGAATCACTGACCTTAAGAAACTTGCTCCTATGGAGCTAAGGTTTACCCAAACTTTGTCTAGCTTCAGCGGTCAATATCACAAAACTTCAAGGCAGAAAAAAAAAAATTACACTTAGAAAATTCTCCCCCAAATAATCTTTTCTAAATAGGTAATTACTGGTTAGCAGCACAATATAATCAGCAAAGGAAAAAAAAAAAAAAACTCCAAAGCGAAATCATGGGTTTTATATAAAAATTAAGGTGTAATTAGTATAAGGGATTAGGTAAATCACTAGACTTATAGTTGGAAGATCTGCGTACCTTTTCTTAGAAACACTGTGCTTTTATGGAAAAGACCTTCCACTCAAGTTCTTCCAAATCTATTTAAAGAGCTTATATAATCCCTCTAATCCTTAATTTTTACATTTGAAAAAAAATATAATACCCATTCCATGGGATTGTGGTAAAGCATGGTACATGCCTGGAACATAGTAAATACCTGAATACATGTTAGCTGATTTTATTAATAATATTATTTATAGAGTATTTATAGATTCAGTTCTTGTCAATACTCAACTAATGTTAATTCTCTCTCCCCAAAGAAAATAGGAAGAATGAACTGTTTCATATTTCTCCCATATATGGAAGATCTAAGATATTATTATCAAAGCTCTTTGGAGGGGATCTCATTGTGTGGATAGAGATGTTAGGAAGGAACTAAACATTTTACCTGCAGGCCAGGATTCCAATGCTGTACTATAAGCAAAGATAATACAAGCATATCTCTCCCCAGAAATCTCCTGTGTTTGTGAGCAATGGATTGGAATTACATGCCCCATTAGCATCTTATTAGAAGTGGCAACTGTGTAATTTCTGAGAGCCAGGCTATAGGATGACAAGAAAGAAAACACTCTGGGAGACATGGCAGGTCACCCAATCCTCAAAGTATCACAGGAGACCCTTAGCAGAAGATTCAAGATCAGCGCATCCCTAAGACCCATCAGACTATGGGGGTAGCCCTTTGGGTAACTGTATCCTCCTCAACACCACACTCCTAATCAGATTAAGCATGGGGTGCATTCAGTAATAGGCAGTGTCTCAAGTTCATCGTAACTCAAACAGTATTTCGCATTCACTTCTGTCTGAAACTCAACTCAGTTAAAGATAATTACCACCCAGCTTTATGAATGCAAAGGGCACTTTCATTTTATTGCAAAATTAACTGACTAAATAAGAGTTCCTAATACCGAGGCAGAAATGAGCTAAAAATCACAAGACAAATAAGAAAATGACAAGGTCAAATAAGGTGTTCAGCCAAAGGTGTTCTAACAGGAAGATTAACCTGGTGAGCATTTGTTATATAGGACTGGACTTAAAGTTATACAATTAATCTGTTACATGTAGAACCTCCCACATTATTTTTAAGGTTTAAATGTTAACAAAAAAGCAAAGTTAATATTAATGAAGCACCCATGTCCCCAAAACTGTATTACAAGTATAATCTCATTAACCTCCTAGTAAGGTAAAAGTGGATTATATTCATTTAATCCTTTTTTTTTAAAGCATCATAAATTATTTAAGGAGTTTTCTAAGATTTAAAAACATCACATCTTGGCTACATCCCTCTACAACTTGAGAAAGATTTTAAAAAATTAGAAAATGTAAATGTACTACCCAAATCAAATGGGGGAAAAAATTGTTTCATCCATTCAATTAAATACTTACTGACCTCAAAGAATCTGATACTACACACATACAAACAGGCACATGCGCACTTGAATAAATTTACCCAAGTCTACTAAAGGGCAGCTAAGGTGAGTGGCTCTGGATAAACTTGGGATTTTTGATGTGCTAAAAAGAAATCTCCAAGTTTGGGGCAAGAGCTGCATGACCTGGTTAAGCGGAAGAATGATGGAGCTCCTTCTCCACTCTCTGCTGCAAGAATGCAGCAGCGCCTCTGAACCACTGTGGAAGCCCAGGGTGTAAGGTATCCGTTTGAAGGGGAGCTAGATTACCAGCCTGCTGAGAACCCTGCGCTGGGAGTGCCATCCCTGCGTCCCAGGCCGGCGGTATGCGCACGGACCCGGTCAAGCTCGCTAACCACCTCCTGCAAAAGAACGCGCTCACACTGTCTGCCAGAGCGGTGCCCTCGTGGGAGAAGCACCCACTTGGCAAAGGCCTGGGGAGGTAGAGCCCACTACCTGACTTTCTCCGTGGCTCCTCCCGCTCTCCGCCTTGAGCAGCGTCTTGGGCTTCCGGGACTTGAAGTTGCCCATGCTGGGTCGCAGCACGCCGTCCACCTGCACGGGCTGCTCTACATGCTGTGGCGGCGACGGTGGCGCGGGCTCCTCTAGGAGCGCCCTGGCGTCGGGGTAGTTTTCTTTATTGTCTTCATCTCTAAAACAGGAAAGACCCAATTTAGAAAGCACCCAAAAAAGTAATACACTGCTGCGGGAAAGCGGGGCTGGAACACTCACTGCTGCTCTATTTATATGGTATCTAGCAAAATGTTTAGGGTAGACTTAGTTTCACAGGAATAAGAACCTAAGAAATGTGAATTTCACTGTTTGGATCATTCCACCTTACCTTCTCCTCTTTACAAGTGGATACATACTTTTTTTTTTTTTTTTTTGGCAGTTGTCGCTTTGCGCATGATATCATATTTGTTCTTAATTTTTCACTTCAAGATGCTTGGATGTATGTATTTTTTCTGACAAAAATGTGGGATTCGGGTTAGAGATTGTCAGCCCAGTTTTACAGATTAAGACCCTAGAACTCAAGGGCACTTGGGTGGCTCAGGTCATGATCTCAGGGTCAGGAGATCAAGCTCCAGGACAGCTACAAGCAGAGTGTGGAGCCTGCTTAGGATTCTCTCTCTTCACCACCCTTCTCTCGAAAAAAGACAAGGAAAAAAAAAAAAGGAAAAAGAAAAAAACTCTAAAACTCAGAGAATAAATGAAGTTCCTGGGAAGAGCTAATTCACCCAGAGACCTGGAGTGCTAGCTAGGTCTTCAGTCTCTCCTGCATATAGGGACTTGATTTAAGGCATGATACTTCCTCCTTGCTGGCATATTTAGAATCATCTCTCTACAATTTTCAAAAGCCTCTAGAAGTTTAGCAGGGTCTATTTTGATAGGAAACATGCTACTTGGATAAAATATAAAACAAGGGCCATGTTTTACCCAACAAAACCATCTGAACAACACCTTCTGTGCGCACTCAAAGATCCTTGTCCAGGTTCCATCAGTGTGGAATTGCTGAGGTGATGAAACGGGCCGGTGTCACCTTCACACAGTTAGTGGTGTCACACACACAGCCACTTTTAACTTTCACTAACCAAGCAAATCTATACAATATAACCTACTGTTTCAATTTCTTCAAAGTAGTAACATAACACTTTTATTCGAAGCCATTAGTCCCTCTTAAATCTAGATGCACTTCTTTTCTAACTTTGCTAAGAACCCAGGGATATAACCAAATGGGGTGTCCTCTTTATACAATTAATATTATCATTCTTAATCCACTGGCAATCATTTGGTACTAGATCACATAATTCTCTAGGGTGACCACTTCCCCTCAGCGGTGTTTTTCCCTCCCATTCTCTAATCCGAGCATCCGTAAAAGATTTTGGTAAGGTCAGATAGGAAACAATTCCTTGTAGCTCAAGGACACACAAAGCCAAGAGACAAGACCAACAAAGAAAGGATTTCTATGCCCACTGTTCAAGATGCTTTTTCGCAAATAAATCAGAGATTAAATTCACTAAACTGATATCAGGAAGATGAACTCCAGTTAGCCTCTGGGAAAAAGATCAAAGCAAATATCAAGGATAGGAATTCTGGAGCATGACCCAGGGTGCAACTGGGCAAAGTGTGGAAATAAAACTACATGAAACAGTTAATTTTAAGCCCCCGGACAAACTTCATAATGCCGGGTAAAGGAGAACCTAACAAGTGAAATAATTATTCAAGTGAAATATTAATAACTGAAAAAAAATTAAACAGAAAGTCAGTGCCAATGACACTGGTTAATATTTTCCCTTAAGAGTGATTATAATTTATTTACTTACTTACTTATTTACTTATTTTTAGAGAGAGAAAGAGAGAGGTCGGGGAAGGAGTAGAGGGGGAGAGAGAGGAAGGAGGAAAGAATCCCAAGTGTACTCCGCACTGAACCAGATGCCTGATGAGGGGCTTGATCTCACTACCCTGAGATCGTCACCCTGTGATCACGACCTGAGCTGAAACTAAGAGTCAAATGCTCAACCGAGTCACCCAGGTGCTCCAAGATCAATTACAATTTTAAAAATTCTAAGTCACTAATGGATTTGGAAACCAATATCAAACCATAAGTTGGAACTGTACTAGTTCATGTGAAATGCATTTCTCTCATTGGAAACAATGTTCATCCCCATACTCTATGCTCCTGGGTGAGAAACAAAAGGGAGAACATCTGCCTTTACAGGAAACCTAAATATTCCTTCAAGGAGGATTCTAGAACATTAAGATCAGAAAGAAAAACTCATTTTTCAAATCTAAAATGGTTCTTTTGATAGACTCATCCCTTAAACAATACCTGGACTTCATTTTTATATATTTTCAAGGTGCCCGAATTCACCTCCTTGACTTGAAAAGCAAAGAAGGTTAGTGTGGGGAAGCAAAGAACATCTTTCTCTCATTATACAAATACCTAAACACAAACAGTCATCTTTAGAAATACACTTCTAACCTGTTACTGGTTTCTCAGAATCTCCAAAGCAGGAAAGTACAAGTTATATAATTTATGCCTCTACTTAGTGGAATCAATCATAACTGGGAATGAGTCTGAAAGATCCTCCTCTATATTAGTTGCATAGCCTGGGCCACAGCACATCACCTCTCGGACCCTCAGCCATGAGATGGCTCTCTCTCTACCTGGCAGAGATCATACATGCCCTGTGAAATACCTACCATACAAAGCTGGCTCAGGCCACAGCTCAATAAATGGGAGCGATTATTACTTTAATGGGGTTTTAGTCAAGTGGTTATTTGCAAAGAAAAGACTGAAGGTTCTTTTTAGTCTCCCCAATACCTCCAGGATAAATTCCAGACTCCTTAGTGAGGTACACCAACCCTTTGAAATCAGGTCTTTGTTTATCTCTGGAGCTTTACTTCTTATCACTCTTGGCCTCGCTCCCAAATGTTCTCAAGCTTCCTGCCATCCTGAACTTCCTGCTCTTCCTACAACTCTATTTTCTCTACCTTCTGTTGGCTTTCCAGCAAGCCGTTCCTTCTGCTTGGTAGCATCATCTTTTTCTTAGCCTCATATCCTCCTACCCAACCCCCCCCCCACCCACACACACATACAAAGTCATGCGTTACCGTAATTTTCTTCAGGAATCCATCCCAGAAACCTCTCTGGGCTATTTGGTCCTTCTAAATGAATCCTCTGTCTACCTCTAGTAAACGAGCACTTAACGTACTACAGCATCATCGTCTACATGGACTGGTTTCTGGCACACAAAATAGGCCTTCGACAATTGTTTGTTATCCAACAAATGGACCCAATAGTCAGAGAGACCGGAGCCCAAATTCTGCCGCATAGTAGCTATGTTAGTTTGGATGAGCTATAATCCTTCTGAGCCTCAGTTTCCCCACCTCCAGGAGGAGGAGGGAAACATCGACGTCCTTTCAGTTGTTTAAATTAAATAATAAAATGTATGTGAAAATGCTCTGAACAAAGCAAATGTAGAAGAAATGGTTAACTATGAAGGTTTTGCCATATCATGAACCCCTTGATGACCAAGACCATACTCCAAACACTCAGTGACGTGTTTGGTAAATAAATCTGTAACCTCTTCCATAGGGTCTATGATGGGAACACTGAGATGGGATAATCAATCTTGAATTCAGCAGACATTTACTGTGCATTCCCCACATAAAAGGCACTGTCTCGGGTACTAAGGGGACTACCCCAAAATGGACATGACAAAACTTAAGAACTGATATTTTATTATAAGAACTTATACACAAGAACAGCTGATTCTTAGATTCAAAGAAAAGGCTAACTACTCCAGACACACATGGTTTCTGTCCTTCATAATTAAGAACCAAGCAATAGCGGGTCATACCTGATATAGGAGCAATCAGTCTGGTCTTCATGTAGGGAGGCTGTGTCTTCGTCACACCTGGAGAGAAGGAACAAAACCACATCAGTTCCAACTGTCTGCAGCAGCAGAAGCAGCAAGAATCTAGAGTTAGATTAGCACGGTAAACTAAAAAATAGAACAACCCTCACCACTCTCTCTCAAACTATCTCTCAAACTAGCTCCAATTCCCAGCATGTCTACACGGTAATGATACCAATGTGGTCACGTTATGTCATCTTAAAAGCTCAGAACCAGAAGGAATACTCTTGTTTCATCCACTGCTCAGCATCACCTAAACTAACAAGATCTTGGCAAGGACCCAGCTGTTCGAAGCACTTGAGGGGACATCTAACACCAAGATTGGTGAGTTCTTCCTGGCTCAAAAAGAGACTCTATTGCATGCCTGCTGAAATACCCCCTGCTTCAGACTAGCTTCTTCCATTGACCTCCAGACTTTTTCAATCCCATTCCTTATCACAAAACTTCTGGAATAACCCAGTGAAAAATTCATGGCTCTTCTATACTGAAAAATCTGCGGTGTTCCACACTGCCTGGAGGCCTCTAAAGTAGGACCATTCTCTCACTCGAGTGTAGAGCCTTTGTTCTTGTTCTCAGCCATTCCCACCCTCCTCCAGCCTGGAATGCTTTTTCCACCTTCAACTCCTACTCATCTTTCATTGCCCAAGTGAAGTATCATAAGCTCCATGATATTTCCCAGCCAAGTTCACCCACAGGCCACATACCTACTTTAAAACTTAATACATAAATGTTTACTCTATATTCTGAGATTTTGGTAACCAACTGTATCTTGCCTCACACGGCTATGTAATTCCTCTGTACCTCTGACATCTCTTCAATTAGTTGTTAATTCCATGAAAAGAAATGCCTTTTTTTCTAGACACACTGTCCCAGTGCCCACAGTGCTACCCCCAAAGTAGCATTCAATAAATAATTGAACAGAATCATTAAGTCTGACCCTCAGCAAGACTGGAAATACTTTAACAAGCATTCCCTGAACGTGTACTACCCTTCAGGTACTCGTTAACTATTAGACCTGTGTGTTTCAAACTCTTTGGGACTCAGAACTGACCAGTTCATTTTCTATTTCCAATCTGCTACGGTAGTTTGGTAAAAATGTTGCAGGAATGCCAAATTCCCTTAGAAGTTATTAAATGTTTACTCCCTATTTCTGTACTTTCCTGGTCTCAGGTAAGTTACAAACAATTTGGGGGCCAGTACTTCCAGTAGTACTACTTCTAAAGGACACAAAGTTGAAAAAGAACTGGACCCTGCTCAGATAGAGTGACAATGTAATGAGTGGACAAAAATAAGTAAGTATCTACATATATAAATATAACCGAATATAATAATAATATCCATACTACATGAAATCATTTAAAATTTTTAAATATTCCTTACTTGCAACATTACATAATTTATCTATAGAACAAACTGATATAAGCTCCAGTCCTCTTCCCTTACTATCCCTTTTAAATTATGTACTTTAAGGAATTAAACAAAAGCCATGTAGATCCTAACTCTCTCTGCCTGCTGAAATATCTTGTTCCTCCTGCCAGTTAAAAAAAAACAAACAAAAAAAATCAGTCAACTTAACACAGTACTCTTTTTAACGAAATAATTAAATTTTCTTGCTTTCTCATGTTTTTGACTGACAATAAACCATTCTGTCTATTTCATGAAAATAACAATTGAATTCATAAGTATTGCCTTGTTCTCCTCTGTTAGACTCATTCACTTTAATAGATCATCTAGACATTGTTGTGTGAATGAAAATGTTTCCCAATAAAAGTAACCTCGCTAAGTAGAAAAATCAGCGAAGAAGAGAAACCTAGGATTTTTGCTTCCAAAGATCTAGGGTTCAATCAGAGGTTCAACCCTAGAGCTCAACAATACCTATTGTTTGGGAATTTGGCAAGAACTTTTTTTTCTCCCCTTCACTTGATTTATTAACCTTTCTTTTCAAAGTACAATTAGGTAAAAATGGAAACTCGGCATCAGAACATACAAAATTGCACATGCTTTCTTAAGGATGAGGCCAGACCCTAATTAATTGATCATATTTTCAGGCCTATTAAATGACTTCAGTTCCTCCTCAAGGAAACACAATTCCTAGGTCACAAATACAGCAATGATATAGATCTGTCTACAGGCTTATATGGGCACGTATACCCACTCCTTTAGTTCAGCTGGGTTGTACATTTGCTCTAATGACCAGTAAGTTTTATCGAAGTAACATGTCCTTTGTGACTCTTCTACCGATTCCTTAAACAGGAATGTTGGCCCAGTTGTAAAGCTGGATTCCTCAGTGACAATCCATATCCAGACATCCCCATTCCGGCAAGAAAACCAGCTCAGACCAAGTGCCCAACTGGTGGGATGCACATGGCATCCTCTTCCTGCATTGTAACCCCAGTACAGGAATTTAAAGACCAATGAGTGTGGGCCCCACAGGTACCTCAGCCTCACTAGATCAGGTAGTCCCTGGGGGTGAGGCTCAGGAGTTCCTCCTCAAGGAAACACAATTCCTAGGTCACAAATACAGCAATGATATAGATCTGTCTACAGGCTTATATGGGCACGTATACCCACTCCTTTAGTTCAGCTGGGTTGTACATTTGCTCTAATGACCAGTAAGTTTTATCGAAGTAACATGTCCTTTGTGACTCTTCTACCGATTCCTTAAACAGGAATGTTGGCCCAGTTGTAAAGCTGGATTCCTCAGTGACAATCCATATCCAGACATCCCCATTCCGGCAAGAAAACCAGCTCAGACCAAGTGCCCAACTGGTGGGATGCACATGGCATCCTCTTCCTGCATTGTAACCCCAGTACAGGAATTTAAAGACCAATGAGTGTGGGCCCCACAGGTACCTCAGCCTCACTAGATCAGGTAGTCCCTGGGGGTGAGGCTCAGGA